AACATACACAACAATGAATGAACAACATATATATATATATATATATATATATATATATCATTGAAAACGTAAGGATTACAATAGAATACGTTGGTTACATCTAACCCCACAAAAAATGGGTAGAACCACTCAAAACAATGAGGGTAAATTCAAAATAGAGATGAAGGGAGAATGAAGAAACCGAAGGAAAGACCCACACACGAACGGCTCCAAGCTCCGGGAATCCCTTCCACAGCTCCTAAAATGCGCCCAATGTGTGAATGAGGAGAGAAACCCCCGAAAATATCTTCAAATACGAGCTTGGAGAGTCAGATTAGGGTTACGCGCCCGACGCATAAGTCTTCGCGCCCGACGCAGGCCTTCCAGGGAAGTTAAGCACTTCCTGCCTCAGTACATGCTCGAAAATATAAATGTCATGATTTGTAGAACCATTTAAGAATAATGTCATCTACAAATTTGGAAGAAAAAATTAAGGGATTTTGATTCCAAACATAGACTTAATATATAATAGGAGACTAAATGTTGTATTTTATGGATCTATTTAAGAATGATAAGGTATAATATATGACACCTACAAATTTAAAGGCAAAAGATAAAAATTTTGTTCCCAAACATGGACTTTATATATAACATGAGACCCCAAGCTTGAGGGAGAGGTGAGGGTATAATGTCATTTATAAATTTGAAGAAAAAATAAGGGATTTTGATCCCAAAATTCAATTCTTAATATTGTAATTGTAATCTTTATTATTGGTAAAAAAAACAATTGAATTGAAAAGTACGTAAGAGAAATATTATAGGCAACAAAAATTAATGTTCATAATATATTAAAAATTAAAATTAAATTATAGAAGTAAATTATATGTAATTATTTTATTTATATAAAGTAATAAATGAATCACTTAATTGAACATACATCTAAAAATAATCTAACTATTTAATTTTAAATATTTTTTATTTTAATTATATTAATTATTTCTTTTGTTAATCTTGTTATTACTAAACTAACTAGAGGTAATAAAGCATTTGGTAAAGAAAATTACTTAATAAGAATTTAAAGTTGAAAAAGTTAATTTTTCTTGTTAGTTTATAAATTAAAATATTAATATTTGAAAAATATTGATTCATGAGAATGTCTTTTTACATATGTTTTCTACGAAATTGTTTTTATGGAGATAGATAAGAATCTAACCTTTCCTTAATCAATGGCTTAAGTTTATTGATTTAGTTTTAATTATATATGTATATATATATATATATATTTATGATACAAGACGAGATTAAAGTAAAAAAAAAGTTATATAAGTATAAGGTTTATGTGATATAGTAAATTTTAAATAGAATTATAATTAATAAGTAACTTATTCTTCCTATTTGAAAAATATATTATTAATACACATATTAATAAGTTATTTCCTTAAATAAAAATGTTTACTTTTAGAATATGTTAATAAAATAAATCACTAAAGAAAATAATTGAGACATGATCTTATGTTTAGATTCAGTTATCGTCATTGTAATTCTTCCGGATAAAAATATATTACTTTAATATGGATAAACTAAATTAGATTCTCAGCTAATAAAGAAATTCTTAAAGATAACTTTTTAAATAATTATTATAAAAGTTTTTTAGTGAAATTATTTTTATATAATTTATTAAAGTTAATTTATGTAACAAATTATAATTATAATTAAATAACAATGTAAACAACAGTTACAAGTCTAGTTAAAATTTCTTAAAATGATATTTTAGAACCATTTTATTTTACTTGGATCCAATTCCAAATCTGGTCCCTGGTCTTCTGAGCCCAAGTCCGACCGACAAAGAAGACATGGCAGACGCGCGAAAATATCGACCATAACGGTCTCATACTCCGCATTCCGCAAACATACATCTGCTGATTCAGCATTGCTTACAAGTTACAAGTTACCAACTCATTTGTACAAAACAAAGAAAATCAAATGTGGCTCTGATTAATAGTTACTTCAAAATTGAAAATTAAGTTCAATATTTGACGGAAATCACGTTGAATCGTTGCTATAAGATTTCGTAGAATTTTGTTTAGTTCTATTTACAAATTTTCCTGTTTGTGGCCTTGCAGCGCTATACAATTAAAGACTAGACAACGTGTTTTACTTGAACAACGTTGCGTAGCACGACCCAACTGAGCAACTCGGATATCTCTCCTATCAACACACCTCTTACGACAACATGTTCGTGCTTGAATTATTGCATGTTTTTATCTCTCTGCCTCTGGGTTTGCAAATGAATCTTGAACTTTCAATTACGTTGTCAGAGGTGCAAGTTTAGTATGATGTAATTCGTGAAGATGTATCTGTGTGCGTCTTGGTGACTCATTTTGATTATCACCTCATGAATTGTCCGATGAGAAATGCTAAATGAAAGGATGTTTCTCCCGGTTGAAATTAATTAGATCCTAGTCCTTTTTTAGGTTTCTTTTCCCCCTCCTCCCCAACCCCTTACCACATTTGAATTGATCTATTCAATTATCCTAGTAGATGACTAAAATTAGTGGTCATGCGTGGAAAAGTTATAAGAGGAATGTTATTATAAAAACATTTTTTTTTCTTTATTTTTGAATTATTATAAATTAGAAATATGAATTTGATTAGAATATATTTACAACTTTAATTTGATTATTATTATTTAATTATCAAATATAATGTAAATCAAGAATGTATAAAAATTAAACTGCTCTGTAACGTCTAGAATCTTTTCAGACTTCAGAGTTATCCAGTCCGTACTAATAGTACAATGGGTGAAAATTTGAGTAAAGTTCATAGCTTTAAATTGTAATCATGTTTCTCAATATATAATTCTGTGTTACTTGTATCTACACAGGCACAGAAATTTCTAGATAGAGAGAAACCGGATGGTACAACTTTCTAGAATTTACATGCATGTATGTCTATGTCCAAGGATGAAATCCTGATGCTGACTAGGCAAGCCAAAAAGGTGGCGTGGAAGATACCAGATACTGAATTTTGAAATGGTAAAGTTGTAGCACTTTGGATGAATCCACACGGTTGGAAGAGGCGAACCCAGGTTTGGTTTGGTTTGGTGGAATGGAACAAACAAACCTAGTAAGTAGGAAGTCATAGCCAGCCAGTGTGTATAAAGTAATAGAAGCAACACGTAATGGACCACTAAAAACTAGGATCATTATTCAAACAAATTGCTGTCCAGCTGTGAACTTCCCACATCATTCCACCTACCAACTCTTATTATTCAAATACATCCACAATCCCCACAAACTACTATAAATTCCAGGAGGGGACGAATTTGCCTTATCATCAATTGTACTCAAAATACCAATTCTCTCTTACAGAAAAAGAAAAACTCTTCAGCAAATATAGTACTACTATAACAATATTATTTCAAGTTATGAGTTATCCAATGGCTGTTTTCTCTTGTATTAATGCTATGGTTGCACTTGTTCTAGCGTTTCTAATGGTTGCCGTGGCTGGTAACTTCTACCAAGATGTTGATGTCATGTGGGGAGATGGCAGAGGTAAGATTCTTAATAATGGTCAGCTTCTTACTCTGTCCCTTGACAAAGCCTCTGGCTCGGGGTTTCAGTCCAAGAATCAATATCTTTATGGCAAGATTGACATGCAAATCAAACTTGTCCCTGGAAATTCCGCTGGCACAGTCACCGCTTATTACGTGAGTTCCCTTAATCAATCTGATTCAATAACTATCAAAAATAGTGCTTTCTGAATAACAATAACTAAACCACACACACATGCATGTTCACGGAAGCAATCATTATATTACATGATGTGAAGATTGGTTAAAAATTATATTCATGAATCATATACTAATTTAACTTGTTCACGGATTCTAAATTCTGATACATAATTTATGCATCATGCAGTTACGTTCAGAAGGGTCATTTTGGAATGAGATAGACTTTGAGTTTCTGGGCAATCTGAGTGGTGATCCTTATGTAGTTCATACTAACGTGTACACACAAGGCAAGGGTGGCAGAGAGCAGCAGTTCTATCTATGGTTTGACCCAACTGCAGATTTTCACACCTATTCCTTTCTCTGGAATCCTGCACATGTTGTGTAAGTTAATTTATAAAACCATGAATTGAATTGAATCTTTAATATTGAACTCAAATGCTCAATTAAGTTGACCTGCTTGGATTCTTTAATTTACTCTTCAGATTCTACGTTGATGGTAGACCAATTAGGGAGTTCAAGAACTTAGAGAGTGCGGGTGTTGAATACCCAAAGAACCAGCCAATGAGGTTATATTCAAGTCTATGGAACGCTGATGACTGGGCAACAAGAGGAGGGCTTGTGAAGACAGATTGGAGCCAAGCCCCATTCACTGCGTCTTTCAGGAATTTCAGAGTCAATGGTTGCGTTTGGTCCAATGGTGTTTCTTCATGCAACTCCTCCAATTCTTCTGATAAAGCTTGGCTATCTCAAGAGCTTGATTCCACGAATCAGAAGAGGCTAAAATGGGTGCAGAAAAATTACATGATTTACAATTACTGCGCAGACGTTAAGCGATTCCCCCAGGGTCTCCCTCTCGAATGCACAGTCCGCATCCGCACCAACTCATAAGAGGATAACAAACCCTGCTCTTGTTCTTCTATGTCTCTGCATTACTTTATCTTATCCCTTTCTATATTGCTCGTCAATGTCATTCTTTCTGCAATAAAAAAAAATAAATGAAGTAGGATCCTATATATTCTTTCCTATGTCAAGTATGGGAAATGATTGATCGACAACACACCTTAACAACTTTCGTCCAAAAGTATTTTACTTTATAGTATTGAACAATAACAATTGAGAAAGTATTGTACATTAAATAATTCATTTTTGTTTTTTCATATTATTTAATTCAGTTCAACATCTTGGAACATCTTTAATAAGTAGTAAATGTGGAATTCCGAAATATAAAACAATGGATGCCGGAACCTGAAATATAAAAATAGTGGATACAAAAATCAAAACCAAGCATAGTGGTTTCAAAGAGAAAAAAAAATAGAAACTATAAGAGGGATCCAAAATGAAAGTAATGGACACACGATTCATAACACAACAATAATATCATAACTTAAAATCTTAAAATATTAAATTAATAGATTCTTTATATTTATAAATTATTTTATATATTTAATTCTATTTGATATGAGACTTTCTTTAACATTTAAATTTCAATAAATTTACACTTGAATTTCAATAAATCTAACTTTTCCTACCTACTTGTTATTTTTTTATTTTAAAAAATTTTAAAATAATGATTTTGTTCTATTATTTTAGAATGTCCTTCTTTGACATTCCTCTCTTGCTCAACAACAAATTAAAGTGCGAACTCGAGCATTTAGTGCATTTGCATTTATACATTTGGATGAAATTTTGTATTTTCTTAATATTAACAAAGTGAGAGATGATGGATCATCTCCATATATAGATTATGGGATGAGGTTCAAATTCTTGGGTTTGAGTTATCCTAATATAATATGAGATATTTTTCGGCTAACTATCAAACTCACTTCTCTAACCATGTTTGTAACTTTTTCTTTTGTTTAAGCTTTAGTTTTTATGCAATAAATCTAACGAAATAAAAATTTCACATCTTAAATTGAGTTGAAATCAAATGATTCGAAATTGTATCCAAAAATAAAAAATAATCATTATATTATATAATAATAACAATATTAACTAAAATTTGAGAGTTAAATAATTAAAATAAATAATTTTAATAAAACGGACCAAAAATAAAATTTAGCAAAGAGATAAGGGACTAAAAATTGTATTTTAGTCTATTCATTTTTAAAAAATTCTTAAAAAACTAGACAAAATTAGGTGTTTATAATTACTCTTCTTTATTTAATAATAAGAATAATCGATATCTTCATATTTTCGTAATCGTAATAGATGATAAGTAAATAAGTGAACACCAAATTTATATTTCAAAGTCATGCATTACCAATAAAGGGTTAGAAATGGGGGGAAAATATTAAAATACTTAGCGGGTGTTTGAATTGACAATAAGTTACAAAATGTGCAAAATAAAATCAAAATTTGTTACAATACGATTTTTTTTACAGCAACCTTGATGGGCAAAGATGACAGATATAATTAAAAGAAAACAAAAAGGGTTAGACATGTAGGAATAGGGATGGGGTGGGCATATAAGACAAAGTTTGTAGATTAGTTCATTTAGTCTGTAATGTGCACTAATATGGATTCATTTTTAAGATATTAAGATTTTGTTATTATTGTTAGAATGTGCAAATATTGATATATTAAGACCTTGAATTTTTATTTAAAAGGTTTGATATTGTTTACAAATGTCTTTATATTTCATTTTTTAAGTATTATTTTTTTTCTTGTTTCAATATCTTAAAAAACAAAAGAGAAAAGACTTTTGAATTTGATAGGATTTTTTTTTTAAAAAAAATACAAATTTTCATTGGGTCCATTTATTTGCGAATTTTATGGATCGAACTCAAGCCAAAACTTTGTGGACCATTTATATCGCAAAGTGGACTTATATAGTCATTAAAAAATGAGCTTCACAAACAGTGCAGGTTCAAATACCTACCTCTAAATAGGAAGCAAACGATATTAGGCAAGTTTTAAGTGAGGAATAAATGACAAAAATTAACATTGGGTGTTGAAGATTTGGATAATGGATGTGAATACATGAAATATAACAATTTTTGCGGTATATTGAAACACATCAATAGTGTGAATGAGGACCTAAAAATATGAAGGTAGAGGGCATAGAAATTCAAAACATTAATAAATAAATAAAGGTCACAAATACCTAAAAACATAAGACATAGAGTGTAAAGACCCAAAACATAAAGTTATGGGCACAAGTCATAAAACATAATAAATCAATGGGTGTATAAACTCAAAATATTACATTGGACATATGGACCCAAAACAAAAACAACTATCCAAAAAAAAAATATAATAGTGCTCATAAAGACTCAAAAACTTAATAATAATGGGCTTAAGGATCCAAAATCATACATAGCAAGAATGGACTCAACGACCCAAAACCCTAAATCACTAGACTTTTAATGTGCAGAAATTTTTTTAAATTGGAATAGTTTTATTGTTTATTTTATTATGCAGGTTTTTGTTATATAGTACATTATATCCCAAACCAAATTTTGAATACAGGTTTTATTTATTTTTTCCAATAAAATCACCCAAGTTAATCTATGATTTGAAAATCAAATGATGATTACCTATGTATACAGATTTGCTTGGAAAGAATAAATTAAAAATAGTTACTAATCTATAAATAGCTTTGGAATGAAATATTGAAATTAATCCTTAACTATGAATTATTTACATATTAGCTAGGAAATAATTGTTTAATTGTAAATTAGCTACAAAACTACTATAAAATATCCTAGTTATATAGTAAAAAATAAATAAAAATTGACAATATATTACTACGAGATAGTTAGAGAATAGCTACAATGTTTAAAAAATTGCTACAAATTAATTAGGATTGTTTTTTCTAATCTAATTTGCTACTTATTTTATGCTACCACTAATATTTTAGTAATTTTTGTATCTAATTTGCAGCTAACCTTTTTTTGCTAGAAACTAGCTATGATTTGGCTATTGATTTTGTTTTAGCTAATTTAAGATTTTCCTGTAGTGAGACTTAGTTTTAATTTTCATTACCGTGTTGTAATAAGAAAAATGTTGAGTACTAAGTTGGTCCTAAGTGCTTTTTAATATATATATATACTTAATTCCCATGTTATTCAGCCTTGCTTTGAAGAGAGAATTAAATAATTAAATGTTTTATTTGTAGGGATTAAACTCTGATATTAGAAAATGAAGTGTTTAAAGAATTGAGTTAGACTCCTTTATTTATTATAAATTAAAACTAGTTCACATAAACTAATTTCTAGAAAATTATTCGTATTTACTGATTTTTAACTTGCAGTCAACTTTGCTTCCATACCCTACTGTCAATTTAGAGCTTTTAATTAATTCCACATGTCCCATGCATGCATTGTATTGAATGAGTCCAAGTGGCAAACAAACTTAGGTCACTTTCATTTCGTTTTTTCATCAATTGAGAACGTACACTGTACGAGCAGCAAATTGCTCAAATCTGTGGTGCATACTAGAGGCACGAATTAATATTGTACAAAATTAATTATCCTTAAGTATACACATGGATCGGAGTGTAACAACAAAGTTTTTATGAAGCCAGTTGAAATCGGTTGGGTCACTGATGTGTGGGTAATAAGTAGAACAGGCTGGCTATAGTGGCAACAATTTAATGAGGATCATTTTCTCGTACAAGCATACTATACATTTCTAGTTTCGTCCCATATGCGTATGACCAACCATGTGACTTAATGTTCGAAACTTGTTTATGAATAATTTAGCTGAGAAAACTTATTTATAATTCTTTAAATACGATTTGTGTTAGTCCTCTAATTAAAATTAAAATTTCATCTCTCTAAATATGGTTCACATAATGACGTTGTCCTCTAGTTAAAATTAAAGTTTCATTTTAATAATATTTTTAAAATGTCTATTATTAAAATCTATATTAAATATATATATATATATTAATAAAACGAAATTTTAATAAAAAACAATATAATCATACATAAATTTGATCCTAATTAAACATCACTTTCCGGCTGCTAACTATTTTTCACTAAAGACTACATCTTTATAGTTAAAAATTAATCTTAATTTGGCCATCTTACTTTGTATAGGAGTAGAGGATCATTATGGGGGCATGAAAAAGACGGCAGTAGAGGTTTTTGAGTCTACATCACTTCAAACTTTCCTACGCGCACATGGAATCCTACAAAACCATACAACAGTTTTAGAAACAAGTCATTTATGAGGCAATAAGTACCCAAAAAAATTAGAGATCCAACTAATCTGGTTGAGATAAGGTGATACTACTAATAATAGAAGTTGGTATCCGTTGAGGACTTGAGGTTATTAACACACACCATACCACACCCGTGTCTAGTTCTCTGCCAGTATTATGAAGTCAACGATTTTGGAAACATAATATACTAGCTACGGTTATACGGATCAACTACAATTCAATAAATAAGCTCAAGGGAGGAAAGAAATCAAAGAATTACGAACACGAGAAAGGATTGATTCATCTGAAAAAATGAAGTTGGGAATGGCGAGAGGAGAAGTTTACCTAAGGGTCTCGGCAATAGTTGTTTTGGTATTAACAGCATGTTTGGTTGCTTTTGATACTCAAACCAAGGTTCTTTTATTAAGTATTGAGAAGAAGGCTACCTACAAAGACTTGAACGCTCTCAAGTACGTAACACTTTCTCTCCCTCTCTTGTATATTCCCGATCCCATTGCTGTGCCTTACATCTTAATATTCTCGAAATTAGAACTCAGAATTTTATGTTTTTATAGGATCTCGGTGTATGTTACATCTGTGGCTGCTGGTTATAACCTGCTTCAATTATGCAAACACTTCCCTTGGTTTAGAGGAAACTTCAAAGGGTCTTATATGTGCATGGCTTGGATGTGTTTCTTGTTGGATCAGGTAAATTACTCTTGGCTCTGTATGGGAGGGACTCACGTGGGTGATTAGCAAAAGGGGTCTTGTTGTTTATTTTATTCAAGGAATGTAGCAGGCATAATTAAATTGATTTCAGTAGCTAGAGGTTAATACTTAGTTTAATTTGTGGTAATATTTGTCCAATGTGACCATCAGAATCTAATAACTAGTGGACCTAGAAGAAGAAATTAAAAATATTTGAAATTTGAATATTGGTCTATGTTAAAATTTGTGAACAGATCGCAGTGTACTTGGTATTTGGTGCAAACACTGCAACACTTGGAGCATCGTTGCTAGCAGTGACTGGATCAGAAGCGTTTCAGTGGCTAAAGGTGTGTAACAAATTCACAAGATTCTGCATCCAAATAGCCTCGGCTGTGTTATGCGGCTATGCAGCGTCCATCATAATGGCTCTAATATCCACTATCTCAGCCTACAAAGTGTTGAGCATGTATTCGCCAAAGTGGCTCCTACGTTTAAAGAGCACTACATGATCACTATCTTTCAAGGCATATATTATGGGAAGTTTTGATTTCAACAAGAACCAAAAAGTGAAGATGAAGCATATTATCAAGAAAAGTTCGTCAAAGGGTAGTGTAGCTTGCTTTAATTTGTTGTCAAATGCAATTAGGTTCATGTTTTTTCCTTCTCTTTAACTTGTGTTTCCCAATTCTAAAGTACTTGACTCTCTTTGTCCAGCGAAAGAAATGTGCAGGCAAGAGAAAAAAAATTATATAAAAAAAAAATAACAGGAAAAAGATGTATTATTTTGATGAATAAAAAAAATCAAATAATTTTTTAGTCCAAGGGTGATTTCGTTGCCATCGTTTTTTTTATATATTTTTTTTGTCCTTATTATATTCTTTTGTTTCATTATATGATTCTTACCGTTAGATTTTGTTCCAAAAAATTAAAGTGATTATTAATATAGAAAAAATTAAGAGGACAAAAACAAATAATATTATATATATTATAAAGACAAAACAATTGTTTAAGCTAAGTTTTTAAAAAATTAAACTTCCAACATTGAAAATACATTAATAGAAAGCAGAAAAGTTAAACAAAATGAACGATCATTGACCAACAAATTTTTTATATGAAAAATACTAATAATAAAATTAGGAGCATAATAATAATAATAAATAATAATAATAATAAATAATAATAATAATAATAATAATATAAACAACGTAAATTAAGAAGAAGAAAAACATGTTATTCGTCTTTTTCGAATAATAATAATAATATTTGCATTATTCTTTTACCCTTTTTTATCTTCTATTTCATACACGTGTTAACATTTGTATTACGTACTTCCTATCTTATTTTATGTTTAGTGCCTATTTGCTACCTCTCATTTGTTATACTTGTTTTATAACTTGGCGGTGGTTGTCACAGCATAATAGCTTCATTAAAGTTGTCTGCTTAAAGGTTTAATTAATAATTAACTCGTATATATAAATTTATTTTGGCCGATCAATTAATATTCTATATTAGGAATATATTAAAAAAAACTTATTATTGAAATTGATCGAATACCTTTTTAAGCTTTTAGAATCTATTTTTTAGCCTAACTCTTATCTTACCAATTAAAATCAAAACATTAGATTTGTTGTTTCCAAAAAAAAAAAATAGGCTAGAGTTATAAACTTATAATCTAAAATCTTGTAATTAAGTCAATTCCATGTATATAAGTCCATTCCATATAAGCAGTTTAGAGTCGTTTTTGTTTTATTTCTCTTAACTTTTTTACTTTCTTTATTTTTGATCTTAATTTTTTTTCGTATGATTTTTTCTTGTTTTAATCTCTAAAGTATTTATATATATATATATATATATATATATATATATATATATACTTATAAAAACAAAAACAAAATATATATTATTGAGACTAAAAAATTATATAAAATTTTCTCTCCATTTGAATTGATAAAGAAAAAATAAAAAGAAATAAAATAAGTAACTAAATAACATTTTTACATTCATGTTACACTCAAGACAAACATAGATATGTCTAAATAGAGACAGTCCCCCGTCTCCTCCTCTAAAAATTAAAAATTTATCAGCATCTTATACTGAAAAAATAAAACTTGTCTCTTCTAATACTTGAATTTAAATAACTAAGGGGGTGTATTGGATTAGGATTTTAAAGGACTTTTTTAGTTAAAAAAAATCCTGCGAATTTTAAAAGACTTTGCAGGATTTTCATGACTTTTAAGATTTTGCAAGACTTAAAATCAGGATTTTAATAGATTCAGCAAGACTTTTAAATCAGGATTTTCATGGATTCTGTGGAATTTTGTGGATTTTGTAGAATTTTCGTGGATTTTTAACATTTGATAAGATTTCAAAAAAATATTCATATACATTCAAATTTAAAAAGAGTCAAAGACAAAATTTTTTTTTTAAAAAAAACAATGTCTAGATAAATAATAATAATAATAATAATAATAATAATAATAATAATAATAATTCTCCATAATATCTTATCATATTAAATAGCATTCACCCACATATTCATGGCTATACTAGTCCTCCAAGCATTAGCGTCTTCTCGCTCTTGCTCCTGGATTTGAATAATAGGCTCAAAAGTGTGATCTTCATTAGTCCACTTTAACCCGGCTCAAGTGTATAATTTCATACTTATACAAATTTTTAGATCGATCTCATTTTTGTGTATCTAAACGGTTACATACTTGATTTTAATGATTTGTCTTATGTTATTTATAGTTATGACAAAAAGTAGTATGATAAAAATTATAGTGAATTAAATTCAATTCATTTTCGTGAGATGGTATTAATATTTACTTTAAGAAGTGTTGTTGGACTTAAAATATTATCCATCATCGAGCACTATTGAATCACACACAAATGTTCAGTCATTAACATGAGGAAAGTGCATAAAAAAAATATTATGAAATATTAGAATGATAGTACATATTGTAAAAAAAATATTTACACAAGATCTTGCCTTATGGCCCCGAAAACATTTGTGATACCATCTATTTTTATAAGGTGATATTAGAATTTATCCTAATAATTGCTAACTTGTTAAATTTATTGTCTCACCCACTGTTTAGTGTTATAGGATCAAATGTAAATGTTTAGTCTTCAACATGAGGATGATGTGTTATAAAAATATTATGAAGAATTTAGAAATAATAGTATATATTGTAAAAATATATGCAAGGCCTTGCCTTATTGCATGGAAACAATTTTGATACTATCTACTTTGTAAGATGTCTTATTGTTGGACCTATAAATGTTCAATTCTTGATGTGAAGAAGGTTTGTTGGAAAAATATGGAATGATAGAATATGTTGTAAAAATATTTACAAGACCTTGACTTTGGTCACACACACACAAAGTAACACAACACCATATCCTTACAAAGAGATATTCAACTCTCAACACAACCACCTCAACACTAAAAAGCATGCAACTTAACTTTCATTCTACTCACAACTTTTGATAATTCAATCATCAATATACATGATCCTAGAACAATGTATAAAGAACTATCATCATATACCAACATACAACATGTGAGAAATTCAACTATTATATACATGTTCAACACTTAGTCAAGAAATCAAAATATTTTCATTAGGCAACCTATGTCTAACACCATTCTCTTTGCGTCTGACGTTATCGAGGTAGAGAGCCTCTAACTCAGTCACACCTAATGCGAAATTACCCAAGCCTGACTTGAATGAGGTAGAAAGGCGCTGGTTCAATCACATCTAATGTGGCCAAAATCCACATCCAACCTCATTCAGGTAGAAAGTCTCCACCTAACTCATGCCCAACGTTAGAGCCGTCAAAGTGGGCTGGGGCCCGTGGGCCAACCCGGCCCACCTTGAAAATGGGTCAGGTCGGGCTAAAAAAATTAAAGTTTTATAGTAGGTGGGTATATCTCAACCAGGTCCACTTTAACCCGGCTCACCCGGGCTGAACCCGTGGTGGACCGGGTAGCCCACCAACCCACCAATTTTTTTTTGCAATAAAAATTTAAGTATGATTTGTAGTTAATTTTATATGATGGGATATTGAAAATTTTTATTTTGGACTTTTATCATGATTTGTATTTAATTTTGTATGATGAGTTATGACTTATGACTATTAATGATGCTAATTTTATGACTATTATGTTAATTTATAATTAATTTAAAATTTTGAATTTTGTTGATAATTTTTTTTAAAATTTTTTGTGGGCTGGTGGGCTGGCTCGTATAACCCACCAACCCGTGGTGGGCCAGGCTGGGCCAATTTTTTTTTGAAAAAATCAAAAGTGGGTCAGGTAGGGTTGACTCATTTTTAAAGTGGGTCAAGGTGGGCCGGTCCACATGGGCCAG